TAAACAAACTTTTCTCAAAAACTACCAATATAATATCGGTGAAATCTAGACAAACCTTCTTGATTTTGAGCTCAAGTTCAGACAAATAGACAGACAATAGTTTATTAACGTCTCACTTCTGTACATACATAAAACAGCTTTAATTTGTACAACTTGACATAGATAGAATTACAGAACCATTCAATAGAATTATGAGGGACAAATTATTATAAAATTTAAACATAAATGATATAAAGATGATATAGTAAAACGTTATCCATATAAAAGATGCTTTCTACGATAAGAATTAAAAAGCAGACTTTGGCAAGTATAAAACACACACTGGAGTCACTGAAAATTATACAAAGTTTGTCGATATCAAGTATATCTAAAACATCATAAGATTTAGCAATACATTCATTAAAAAGAGTTGCCCATAACATGCAGTGAAACAAAACATGGACCTTATCATCTACGCTGTTATTACAGTGAAAACATGTTCTATTGTGGACAGGTACACCTTCGCACCAACCGGTTTCCACTCGAATAGGAGCCACGCCACATCTAAACGTGGCTAGTGCCGATCTATAGTTTCTGGCCATCTGATTTGAAACAAAGTATTCTGTCCCATATACTTGCTTGTAACATCGGTACATTCTCAATTTATTAAGCCCATTTCGCCCCACTTCCTTTCTTAACACATCACTACAACGGGTAACATATTCATTCATACACCATTGTTTCACCTGTGTCCAAACAGAAAATGTATCTATAAAACCTGTTGCGTTTAACAGATGTCCTACAGCTAACTCCATATTACTAAACTTCTTTCTTACCCTCCTCTACCATTTTTTACAATCATTTACAGCGTATCTATCAGCCCAGTTAAACACGTGTTTGTTTAACCTACCAGACATATTCTTAAGGCCACACCATTGTATTGCTATACTTTGGGGGTTGCTTAAAAGTCGGCCAAAGTTGTATTGGCTAATTACTCCATTATCGGAGACCATACCTACATATCATTGATGCAACATACACACATGGCATTAATGAACAATCATCAACCAAGAACGTGCACCATAATTATGTGATTCGGAGTAAATCGCTTGAAAACCAGAAAGTGGAGCTGTGTGTAACCGTCGCTGATCTAGATAACATGTAAAAGAGCAATCGTTAAACGAAATAAGATTTGAAACGTATCAAATACTTCTAGCTATCGTGATACAACTTTCCATCTGTCGGCATAGCGTTTACATTTATAGGACAGTACTATATTTAAGTAAATACCACTTAACAATGTCACTGTTCATCGCATTTAAAGCAGACACGTTGGTTAAAGTAGACCTCTTCTCCCCATACTCTCAACAGTCTCACAAGTGTTCGGGCCGACTTGACCCGGGCTGTCAAAATCAACTTTAAACACACAGATGTAACATCAAATGTGTTTACATCTATAGACTAGTTTTATATCTACCTATATACCATTTTATAATGTCACGGTACATTGCATTGAACGAAAACTGATCCGTTAAAGTCAAACACTTTTACTGTATTTTCTTAAGCAAATCTTTGTCAGAAGTGTTCGTTCCGACTTGGTCCGGGCTATCAAAATCAACTTTAAACACACATATGTATCATCAAATGTGTTTACATCTGTAGATTAGTATTATATCTACCTATATACCACTTTATAATGTCTCAGATCGCGGTATTTAAAGAAAACAAGGGGCTCAAAGTGAAGCCCTTTTCCCTCTCCATTCTCAACATAGTCTCCATCAAAAGTGTTTGGCTTGTGTTGGGTCCGACTTGGTCCGGACTGTCAAAATCAACTTTAAACACACATATGTATCTTCAAATGCTTTTACATCTATAGATTAGTATTATATCTATATCTTTATACTACTTTATGTCACAGATCGCGGTATTTAAAGAGAGTAAGGTGCTCAAAGTGAAGTCCTTTTCCCTCTACATTCTAAACATAGACTCTATCAGAAGTGTTTGGCTCAATTCTCATATTGTTTCCACATCATTATAATACACCTGTTTTAAAATAAACTTGTTATAATGTGCCTTCTCTGTATGTTGAATGTACTTATGTGTTTTGTACTTATTGTTCATATATTTTGTAGTTTGTGATAGTGTAATATTGCCACTGTTTCTTCATGGAATGTTACGCAATACATATCTAATCTTCAACATCTTTGTTGTATGATAGTTTGTTACAGTTGTGTACGGGGGCAAGGTTGGCCAAAGTCGCCTTAGGGGCTGCAATTCGCAGTAGTGTCCCTTGGGCACGCCAGAAACCTATGACACTGTGTTCGAATCCCGGTTCGCCCCGATTATGTTGTCAGCACTATACCCGTGCTCATGGGTTTCACCAAAGTGGTGAACGTCTAAGACCTGCATCACTTCGGGCTTTCCTCCACCATCAAGCTGACACGCCGTGATATAACTGGAAATATACTATTCAAAGCGGCGTTAAACCCATCTCACTCACTCACTTCTCTTGTGTACGGTTCCGTTTGGTTAACTGGGTTTGTGTTGTGATTACCTCCGGTTTAAATTTGAAGTATGTTTAGAAGAATTATGCTTCAGGAAAATAATTGCAAACTAAGGGCCAACATGTTGAATTCCAATGTATCCAGAAGCAAAGAACTTATACGGGCGTATAATCTCTGCAGGAAGTTAAAACAACTGTCAATACAATAAACCATGCAGAACCGTAAACCGGTGTATGAAAACGGTATGAATCATATTTTACATACAGTGAACTACTTGAAACTGTGCTCAAATCTGCACAGCAAGCACCATACATGTGATTGTGAAGACAACTTATTACAAATTTCTGATATCAAACCCGTTGTTTTACATGTGTTGTTTATTGAGTCATGCTTCATAGAAGCCTGGTATTTAATCGTGTTGAACAATAAGTTGCAATGGCAGTGTAAAGGGAGAAAGACAGTGCGCATTACATGCTTGACCTGAATTCCTCCTAAGGGAGATAATCACTCACTCTCAGTGATACAGCTTGAATAAGATACGATGTAGAGCATTGCAAGGTCACGGTGATAAAGCTCTATACTACACACAGAGCTAAAGGAGATAATCGATCAATGCGCAATAGTTTATTCTTACAAAACATAGACCGGTCAGCTTTAGCGAAAGGCGATATACATTCTTCGAAAAAAGAAACGCACAGGTAGATTTGTAGTAAATTTATTGTACCTAATAAAGTCGATATATTTGATTTAATATCATAGATACAAATATGAAATTTTGAAGTCCGATAGTCACATGTACATGTTGTCGTTGTACAAAGGCATTGAACTGTCCATTGTCATGTCACATAAGACCTAGCCGCAAGGGTGCGCTGAACTCAGTGTCTTGTGTGACCGCCCTTGGCAGCAATCACGGCTCTGCATGTCACCATCTGCCAATATACAAAACAGAATAATACATCAAGATGGCAGTTTCCATGTAACGATTAAGTATTTCGAAGCAACTTAAATATATTTTCAATATCTAAATATATCTATCTTTAATTTGCTTAGAAATACTTAATCTTTACATGAAAACTGCTATCTTGATGTATTATAATGTATTCTATATTGCCAGATTGTGATTAATTGTTACCAGATGGCTCCAGATGGGGAAGCAGACGACACTTTCCAACAATGGGGAACAGGGTAAAAATATAAGAAGGCTGGTTATCATCGAGCAGACGACTCACCAGTCTAAGATGTATTGAAAAAATACACAATTAATTCTCAACCTTATCTAATGTTAATTCAACAATTTACCATATACCTATCAGTGGGATATTCTGTTAATAATCTCTCATAATTCTATTGAATGGTTCTGTACATTCTATCAATGTTTATTTGTACAAAGCTGTTTTATGTATGTACAGAAGTGAGACATTAATAAATTATTGTCTGTCTGTCTACAATGTATACCATACAATTAAACCGATTACACAGATGCTTCACTTTGAGCTCCTTGTTTTCTTTAAATACCGAGATCTGAGACACTACAAAGTGATATATAGGTAGATATTATACTAGTTGATAGATGTGAAACCATTTGATGTTACATCTGTGAGGTTTAGTTGATTTTGACAGCCCGGGCCAAGTCGGAACGAACACTTCTGACAAAGATTTTCTTAAGAAAATACAGTAAAAGTGATGGACTTTAACGGATCAGTTTTCTTTCAATGCGATGTACCGTGACATTATAAAGTGGTATATAGGTAGATATAATACTTGTCTATAGATGTAAACACATTTGATGTTACATCTGTGAGTTTATAGTTGATTTTGACAGCCCGGGCCAAGCCTGACCGAGCACAGACCAATCACTTCTAATAAAGGACGTTGAGAATTTAGAGGGAAATTGGCTTCCCTTTTTAGCACCGTTTTTTCTTTAAATACTGCAACATGAGGCACTTAAGTGATATTTAGGTAGATATAATACTAGTCTCTAGGTGTAAAGAATGTTCAGTAACTTTAGAAGTGTCAGGACATTTATTAACATGTGTCGTGTCAGCCCTATGACATTCGCGAATATCCACTTCCAGAAAACATCCTGTGTTGGTTTAACATGAATGAGTTAAGGTTAATTAGGGATGCCTAGCACGTTACTTAATGAAAGAAGAGTAGTCAAAACACTGTCGTTTCCTGCCCTGGACATCACACCCCTACACGCTAAGGTCGGTGAGAAACCTTCTCATCAAAGAAAACACACATTCAAGACCCTCAGTTTTCGTGATTATACGGATGCGGTAATTATTATATCACAAATAAAGTGTTGTGGACCCACGGATGGACTCCTGTGTTTGGAGGACAGATATCCTAAACCTAACAGTCTGTGATACATGGTGGAGAATCCGGGTATGGAGGGAATCATGTCTATCCTTAAATCCCTCAAAGTAAAGTTGGACAGAATACAGGAGGAGCGACACAACTCAACAACTGATTTCCAACCCTCCCCAAACAAGGCTTTCCTCCATCTTCCTCCCAATGGTCTCCCCCTCCCCTTTCTATTCCACCACCTCCCATCTTCCCAACCCCACTGTACCATTCCACCACCTCCCATCTTCCCACCCCCACTGTACCATTCCACCACCTCCCATCTTCCCACCCCCACTGTACCATTCCACCACCTCCCATCTTCCCACCTCCACTGTACCATTCCACCACCTCCCATCTTCCCACCCCCACTGTACCATTCCACCACCTCCCATCTTCCCACCCCGACTGTACCATTCCACCACCTCCCATCTTCCCACCCCGACTGTACCATTCCACCACCTCCCATCTTCCCACCCCCACTGTACCATTCCACCACCTCCCATCTTCCCACCCCCACTGTACCATTCCACCACCTCCCATCTTCCCACCCCCACTGTACCATTCCACCACCTCCCATCTTCCCATCCCCACTGTACCATTCCACCACCTCCCATCTTCCCATCCCCACTGTACCATTCCACCACCTCCCATCTTCCCACCCCCACTGTACCATTCCACCACCTCCCATCTTCCCACGCCCTCTGTACCATTCCACCACCTCCCATCTTCCCACCCCCACTGTACCATTCCACCACCTCCCATCTTCCCACCCCCTCTGTACCATTCCACCACCTCCCATCTTCCCACCCCCACTGTACCATTCCACCACCTCCCATCTTCCCACCCCCACTGTACCATTCCACCACCTCCCATCTTCCCACCCCGACTGTACCATACCACCACCTCCCATCTTCCCACCCCGACTGTACCATTCCACCACCTCCCATCTTCCCACCCCCACTGTACCATTCCACCACCTCCCATCTTCCCACCCCCACTGTACCATTCCACCACCTCCCATCTTCCCACCTCCACTGTACCATTCCACCACCTCCCATCTTCCCACCCCCACTGTACCATTCCACCACCTCCCATCTTCCCAACCCCACTGTACCATTCCACCACCTCCCATCTTCCCACCCCCACTGTTATACCATCTGAGTCCCCAGGAGTGTCGCCTCAATCCACCCACCCCTGTTAATTACTTTCCGTCACCACTTAACGCTTTCTTTGTACCTGTATACAATTATCTGTCCCTTTTCCTTTTTCTCTCAGCTGTAGCATACACCTGTGTGTATATGTCCCGTCAACTTAGTAGCCTGTGCCCCTTCCCGACGTTTAGTAATATGCACTAAAATATCTCAATTTGATAAGGGCGTTGTTTCACTGCTATTTGATGTTTGCAGGTGTGTTTCAAGAACGTCTGAGATCGGCTCGTAATGTTTTGTTTGTCATGAGCAGTAGTGTAAGAGAAATATTATGCGCCTGAAATTGAATATGTTTATGATAAATGTAATGATGTTTATGATATATGTAGCAGGACTTGGAGTCATCCCACAGATGACATCCTTACCTTGTCAGCTTGCTGACGGGGTTAACCTCTTTGGTCATGTGGACAAGGCGTCCGGCCTCTGATCAGAAGGTCCATGGTTCGAATCCCATCACGGGACTCTGAAATTTAATGGCCGCTACATATATGTTTATGATGTGTATGAGGATGCTCGTAAATCGGATATGATGTATAAATAAGTTGTGTAGTTAACTTGAATGGTGTGATGAGAGTAGATGAGAGACAGGTAGAAGGAAGGGAGAGAGATCAAAGTACGTGCGAGAGAGAGAGAAAAAAGAGACAGACAGACAGAGAGTCACAGAGAGAGAGAGAGCATTTACATGTGGGTTGCTAATCTACCATCAGAATGATAGAAAGAATGGAATGAAATGATGACAAGTTACCTGTGAGCAACTGTGTGACACCTAATCGTCGTACCGCCTCCGTGGTCTAATGGTAGAGCGTCCGCCCGGAGAGCGGAAGGTCCGGGGTTCGATCCCCGACCGCGTCATACCAAAAGACGTTAAAAGATGGTACTTGTTGTTGCCCTGTCTGGCGCTCGGCTTTAAGGGGCTAAAACAAGGACTGGTCGGCTCGGAGTCAGTATACTGTGTCTGAGTGGGGTAATCATGTTAAACTGCGGCATGGTATCTCAGTGGGCTAGCACTATAAATCGGCATCAGTCCGGACTAGTACAAGCAGCCACACACACACATACACGTGCATGCACGTCGCTATATAAGTGCAATAATCTTGGACGCGACGTTAAACCCCATTTCACCTCACCTCACCTTAATCGTCGTGTGTATTATTAGTGACTGTGAATTGGTACATGGCACCTTACCATGATTCCTGTAAAGTTCTATTTTATAAATATATTTTCAGGTATTTCTATCTCACTACTCAGTGTAAACATATTTATGTAAACATGTTATTTATACCTGGTGTATTTCATTTTTTATCCATGTACTTGACGTAATCTGGTGTCAATTACCACATTGTAATGTGCCGTCTGTTGCAGCAATCGGGTTCACAACATATATCTGTCTGCTTTCCTATTGTAAAAATATTGTTATTATCATACTAACTTATGGATTAATAATATACAGCTTACCGTGGATGTTGTTCAATTTTAATATGAATTCATCATTTAAACTTTGTGAATCAACCGTGGTTGATACTAATCCTTGTATAATTTGTCACATCAGAACAATCTGAATGGTATGGCTATACCGTCTCTACCCTATTGTATTAGTTTTATAACCTTTTTTTATGCTTTAGTATTTAACTTGTATCATGTATATTGTAATTTAACCCCTACCTCATTCACAATGATGTATACGGACGTGGGACACGTCCTTCTTTACAGAAAGGGCGTATATCGTAGGCAGTTTGGCAGAGTATAGGTTTTAACAGGGAGTTTATATACAAATATATATGATAAATATTCACAGCACTGGCCAAAACAAATTATAACAGCAGCTGGGCTATTATTACTATGGCCAACAGCACGGAGTCGTGTGCAGGTCAGTGGCTTCTGTGGATGAGGTGCGGGATACTGCAGGCTGACCAGAGAGGTATCGTATTCGATATGTGGCAGCTAGTCAGTCATTTGACAGGTTAAAATGAGAATATTTTCTGTTGGTCGGGACTTGACCTTCGGACAGCGGCTAGGCAGGTTGGCTCTCTGACGCCTCTGATATGCTGCCTGGCCATGTCTGTCCCATTACCACAATCGTGATTATACAGATGCTGTAATTATTATATCACAAATAAAGTGTTGTGGATCCACGGATGGACTCCCAAACCTAACAGATATCCCAAACCTAACAGCCCCGGGATACTTCGTCTGTGTGACAGACGGGTTTCTAAAATGGACAATTTTAGATTTTCCCTATTGATCTCTAACAAACGTGAATGGACAGCGTGACAATTGTGGCACAAACGCGACTGGATGGTTTGACTATTGTGGCACAAACGTGACTAGATGCGTGACTATTGGGGCACAAACGTGACTAGAAAGCGTGACTATTGGGGCACAAACGTGACTAGATAGCGTGACTATTGGGGCACAAACGTGACTAGATGGTGTGTCTATTGGGGCACAAACGTGACTAGATAGCGTGACTATTGGGGCACAAACGTGACTAGATGGCGTGACTATTGGGGCACAAACGTGACTAGATGCGTGACTATTGGGGCACAAACGTGACTAGATGGCGTGTCTATTGGGGCACAAACGTGACTAGATGGCGTGACTATTGGGGCACAAACGTGACTAGATGGCGTGTCTATTGGGGCACAAACGTGACTAGATAGCGTGACTATTGGGGCACAAACGTGACTAGATAGCGTGACTATTGGGGCACAAACGTGACTAGATGGCGTGACTATTGTGGCACAAACGTGACTAGATAGCGTGACTATTGGGGCACAAACGTGACTAGATGGCGTGACTATTGGGGCACAAACGTGACTGGACAACGTGACTATTGGGGCACAAACGTGACTAGATGGTGTGTCTATTGGGGCACAAACGTGACTAGATGGTGTGTCTATTGGGGCACAAACGTGACTAGATGGCGTGACTATTGGGGCACAAACGTGACTAGATGGCGTGACTATTGGGGCACAAACGTGACAGAGACGGTGTGACTATTGGGGCACAAACGTGAGAAGATGGTGTGACTTGGGACACAAACGTGACTAGATGGCGTGAATATTGTGGCACAAACATGACTAGATGGCGTGAATATTGGGGCACAAACGTGACTGGACAACGTGACTATTGGGGCACAAACGTGACAGAGATGGCGTGACTATTGTGGCACAAACGTGACTAGATGGCGTGACTATTGTGGCACAAACGTGACTGGACAACGTGACTATTGTGGCACAAACGTGACTGGACAACGTGACTGGACAACGTGACTATTGAGGCACAACCGTGACTGGACAGCGTGACTATTGTGGCACAAACTTATTTGAGCAACACCAAGTATGTAAAACATCTAACAGTAAACTGAGATCAGCTTCATCCTCAGCTAACACCGCTAAATCATCCGCATATGCTAATGATGCAACATTAAAATTGTCTACAGTTACACCAATATTAAGACTGTTGAGAGTATGTAATAAATTATTTATGAACAAGTCAAAAAGCAAGGGAGATAACAAACACCCCTTTTTTAAGCCACGGTTTACCGTGAACCAGGAAGTAAAGAAACCATTCACTCGAACGCTGCATTTAACACCCTTGTATAATGATTGCAAGGCAGGTAACGTTTTGCCTTCAATACCATTATGAGAAAGTTTATCTCATAAAATGTTTCTATTTACACAATCGTAAGCTTTCTTAAAATCTATGAATGCAACACATACAACCACACCGCCTCGCGGATTGTTATCTCTGTAATTTACATAAACACAATAACCGGGGGGCACTGTTGCAACAAACTTCAAGATGACAAAAAATGTCAAACTGTGAACAAAAATCAATCAATTTAGCATTATCCAACTCACTCCTTAAACCATTAATGTTCCACGACATAAACGCAAAATGTTTAATAAATTGACAGTGAAAACCTGATCATCAATAATCAGTTTATCAAACCGCAGAACCGCTCTACTATTACCTGCCCTGGCTTTCGTCATCATAGGTTTAAGGTTTTTCCGCTTTGCCCTGACCAATCTTGAAAAATCATCCGTAATCCACATATTGAAATTCTTAAGTTTCTTTGCCGCTTTGCCGTGATATTTCAATATTAGTAACTGTTGAATTACATAAAATATATGGCAAATATATACAAAACATATACATAAAAATTAATATAACATGTGAAGTATCTGTTCATTAATTGTGCACTGTCACAATACCATACCAAATGACATGAAATGTCGTGAATGTAATTTGGAGGAATAACAAAATATATAATTTAAATCAATTTTTTGTTTAGAAGTACACAGGATATCTGAAAGTACCAAGCAAATATCTTACTAGCTATGACTGGGCGTATCAGCTATCGTATATGGTAATTGTGTCGTGTGGTAAAACAGTAGATCCCTTCGACACGCAAATGATAATGCCGAACCGTTGTGCATATTTATGAACAGATGACGTGTCGTGTCAGGCAAACGGTTGATGTTTAGCTTCATTACTTGTGCATTGATCACTGAAGCTGCTGCTGAGGATCATATTGTTATCTGTTCACGGGTGAACCAGATTGAACTAAACTGAAGGCAAAAGAAAAGATACACCTATGTTAGATGTTGGCTTCAAATGAAACAAACAAGAAAAGGTTATTCGATGCGATGTATTTAATACGGATATCATAGGCAATACTAAAAGCCTCATGTCAATGAATATCTGCCTAGCAACGTTTTGATAATGATTGTCATTTTTCTTTTTCAAATCCAATTTTCAAGTGTAAACTTCCTTCTGCCCGACGTTTGGTTCAGAAACTTTATCATGTAATTATAAAATGTCCAGGTCCAATGTCCAACTATGTATGACAGTCTCGCGCATATGCGTTCCAACTCATTTTTATCTGATTTAGAACATCGGAAAGTGGTAAGGGACTGGCCATGTATTATAGATGTTTGATTGTGGCTT